TACGGTATTTTACTCATAAAACGTCACTTTCTGTGGGGTCCCAACTGCCCTTCTTGGGCTTTTGAAAAGGCTGAGAGGGCATCTTTAAGCCACAGGCGCTAAGGCCTCAGCAGAGGTGTGGGTTGCCCCTCACAGGGTCAACGTCATTCCTTCAGGGACTCAGAAGTAATGGCTCCATGCCAAGAGCCTAAAGTGACTCAGTTAATAAGGACACACACATTATCACAGTACTTGTGCCACCTGGTTTGAAAACAAGCCAACATCCAACCATCAGAGCAGTTATCCCAGGAAAAGTCTCATGCCCAGAACACAGAACCCAGTGTACCCAAAGGCCGTGGAAGATGCTCAGTGGCCCGCAGAGATTCCTTGCGTCAGTTTTCCCAATTCCAGTCAATGCCCACTTGCCAGAATCTCCTGCCTATGACCTTAAATTCAGTTGGCAGAAACACCCTGGCACACACACTCTGGTGGACTGCAAGAGGCCTTGGAAAATGGGCGCAATGTGGCATAAATTAACTTGCAGGCGGCAGGCCCGTGGGTTCCTCTCCAAACAGCTGCAGCACTGCAGCCTTACAAGCAAAAGCCCAGCAGCAGCCAGCCTTCAGCCCAGGCAGGTAGCCTCAAGGCACCACTGCTGAGTTTCCAGGGAAAAGGACTCCACAGCGCTGTTAGGCATAACTGGGAAGAATATGTGTTGCTTTCCTTTTTTCAAGGCATCTGGGTCCCAATGCCCTAGAGAGTACTGGTAAGGTTCTAGCTTTTAACTGGTAGTGCCAGGCCAGTGTCACCCACACTGCACTTACTGCCCCAAATTCCATTCTGCATGCGGGCCCAAGGAGGGAATGCAGAGGGACCAGCTTTGGATCCACGTGGCTTGTCTTTAGTTGCCTCTGGATTGCTTAAGTCCACGTAAAGGAAAAAATATCCCTGGGAGGCAGCTTTCTTAGGTCTAAACATTGCTTTGCAAGGGGCAGCCTACACATCACTGAGGCTCAGGCCTGAAAATGCTTGTTCACACAGGAGTACGGCCCCGGAGCCCCTAGAGGGAGCCCTCACTCAATCCGTCCTGGGTGCCAGAAATACCACTGGAAGGGGAAATGTAAATGAAGGCATCATGCAATGGTGAAGTCTCTCCCCCAGAAACGATCAATGCACAAGGCCAAAATTAAGCCTCCACACAGGATGCAATAGCACCCCCAGATGAGACTCACAATTATGGGATCAGAAGATCCTGATCTGGATGCAGATAGCTCTGGGCAGCTGCTCGAAGCTTGATTACAAGGGCCTGGATAGAACTTGAATGTAACATGGCAGAATTGACTCCACAGATAAATTTTTTAAAACTGAGAACTGAAAGAGATACTACCCCTTACAAAACCCTACAGCTCTAGCCAAAGACTAAAATTAAATCAGAAGCAAGGCTAAAATCTGTGCTTCCTTGAACACCCGACTGCTGGGAACTTTCTTTTCAGGCATGATAATCAACTAATGAAAGACTCTCTCATACAAATGCCAGAGTCATACTGTTTATTGATCAAAAGACCAAAATTAGTAAACTCATATGAGAGATGAAAAACTGGAAATGGAATGTACAACTCTAGTCAATCAGAAGCAATTTCAGAGAATTTTATTGAACTGTCATTTTATTACCAACATCTAACATTTCTAGCTTTGCTACATTTGGATAAGCACATTAGGAAGAAAATGTAAATTAAATACTATGAAAGTTCACTTTTAATGAAACATGATCTTAACAGATATGGATATATTAACTTAGTGGTTTCATTGCATTGTTAGAAAATTATATTATGAAAGATACAAAAAATCAATAGCCGTTATTATTTCTGTTTATTTTACAATCAGTATGCCATCTTTGCCATTACGACTTGAAAATTTCATTCTGCCCAACAAGTTTCAAAGAATAGTTTATTACATGCCTTAATAAAACAGTTAAAATATTTACAAATTCAAAATAGATGTTCCATAACTGAAAAAAGTTCACCTGAGAATTCATTATAACATTGCCATTTTTAAAAATTTTTTTCCAAGTTGTTAATGTGGCTGAGTGTCCACATGCAACCTGTATTGTCTACTGCACCAAATATATTTGATTCCTTAGTTTAAATTAGTTAAGCATTAAGCTATAGTAAATTATGTTATAAAATGTACAGATGGAGAACTTAGATTTATATCCATATTTGTCTTGAATATAACAATTTAACAAGATTATTTGCTATAGCTGCAGGATTCAAATAATGAAAAAAACTTTAAGGTATGTTTATTTTATCAAGTTAGACCTAACAGCTTTTTAAAAATCATCAAGCAGTGAGAAGGCTAACTCATAACATAAGGAACAATGATCATGTAAATATGCAATATACAAACTGAAAAACACTTTGCCAAAATTCTGCATGAAGGAAAAGATATACACTGTATACACATAATCCTGTCATTTGTCTTCGGCAGCCTCAAAAAAAAATGAACTAAAAACAAATTTTCTTAGAAAAAACTTCTTTAGAAGTTAATGTTAAAATAGGCATAAATGCGTAATGCTATGCAATATATAAAAACTTCCCCACTTTATGGCCAAAAGACAAAGATAAAAAATTTTTTTATCTATCTGTCCCTCTGGATTACAACTTGAAAATGATATAGGTATGAGGTAGTGTAGTTACTTGTATTACATGCTGGCTATTAAAAGTAATGCTATATTTTACAAAACATTACACTTGGCCAATAATCAGAATATCATTAAAATAAACCCTTAATGCTAAACTTTATATGTAGAGAGAAATTTAAACCAAGTGCCTTAAAGATCGTATTTAAACTCTGGAGACAACTAGGTTTATAAAATAGTAAGTAATCTTTCAAAGCGGTTATTTACAGTAGCAATTAAAGCAAAAGATTGACATTTGCACATACACAAACTGATGTGACAAACAGTTGAGTGTACACTGAGGTAGGAAATCAAGAAGTCCATTGGCTTGTATAAGATTTTGCATTTTGTAAACCAGAAAAGGTTTTATATTATTTTGTATTTTGAAGTTAAAATTTAAAATTACAAGTATCAAAGAAATAGCTACATGGGGGGTATATATATATACACACACAAACACATACACATATCATTCTTTTGTAGTACGGGATGCATTACCATTGAATTATCATTTTCCCTGACAAATTCTTGAGTGTACTTATAAAAGCCTCTAGAAAATAAACAAGCCCAACCAGTTTTCTCTTACAACAACTAAGCTGATAACAGAGATAACATACAAACCACTGAAGATACTAGCAGTATCTTCCCAAGCCACCCGCCCTCATGAAAAAGTGTAACATTTGACAAATTGCTCTGAACTATGAAGTCTGGTCCCCACATCCCCTCACAGCAGAGGCCTACTGGTTTGAGACCCATTCCTACATGGCAGATGACGGTCTCCCACATCAGCTACACAAGCCCTTCACTAGACTCAGGATGCAATCTACAAAAGTCTCCTCTCAGGTGTCTCATCTTGGTGAAATGAAGTACTTTCTAATCCAAACACTAAAAATCACTCTCTGTACCCTTTCAAACTGGATTCTGCAAATGTTTCTGTGAATGTGAATATGAAATTTTGTTTTTGTCATTGAGAGGTCCATAGCTTTCGTGTGACTCCCAACGAAGCCTATAACGACGGCAGAATGGCTAAGAACCACGGTAAAATGCTATGGGGTAGGGGCTCAGATTATCAAAACACTATTGTAAAACAGGACTGAATAAACACAAAGACTGATTTTAAAATGCCCAAGTCCAAAATGATTTGTGTGCCCTTATATACTAGATTTGGGGAAGAGAACAAGATTAAATCTGGCTTCCAAATTCAAACCCACAATGGAACAAGATCAAGTTTCATCCTATTTCACAAACCTGCATGGTTGTTGTAGATACATTTTTATCTATCATAATGCTTTTTACAAAGAAACCATAGGACTTTAAAAAATAGGATGGAAAATGAACTGCCACTCCTGATCAATGTAGGCAATCTTCTTACCCCACGATATCTGGTTTCCTTGCATTGGTGACTTACGGTGGCAAGGCCGACAGCCTTGTATCTGGGGAGCTAGCTCTCCAAGATTCTAGGGAGGCTAAGACAATGCTCCCAACACGAGCTCATGCCACTGTATCCTGAGTCTTATTTCTTCTTCCAAAGTGACAAGAATGTCAGGAAACAGAAAGATCATGATGGGCTCAGATGTGGAAGAGACTGAAAAGAGGAAAATGACACATATCTACCGCTGACGCAGCCAGAACTCCTTGAGAGCCGACACTGAGGAGGAGCAGAAGCCTCTGCCTTAGCCCACCGCTTGCCCGTTTCCTAACCATTCCCAGCGTAGCTCAGGACTCACAGTGCAGGCCAACCAATCTCCGGTTTTAACAGGAGCTGAAGAGCAAAGTGCTGGGATTCAGGCAAGAAGATTACGTCATGTTTTCACACTGCGGTTCTACACCAATATTCCCAAGGAGCTGACACCCTACTTCTCAGTAGAACTGAACCCTATCAGCGTTACTTGGGGAGAAATTTTCTTTTAAACCAGTATGTTGTAAGAAGGTCAGATTATTAAACTTTTGCAGGCTACTTCTTGATAGTAAGAACTATCTGCCGACGTTTCAAGGTGTTTAAATGTTGTCTGATACACTACAGTTTTCATTTTCTTATTTATTTTTAATACTGGGAAGAGTCATTACTAATAGTTATTATTCTTTAAAACATGTGAGTTTTTAAAGCCTTACTACATTTCCACATGTGATTTTTCGGTATCCAGGAGGCAAGTCATTTCTGCATCTCCTGTGGAAATCAAGGAAAAGTCAAGGGTTGACTTCAGAGGAATTCCCTTAACGGCAAACTACAAGGGGAGAAAAACGATATTGTTAAGAGACAGATGGCTATGGCTATGTCAGGCTTTCAAGACAATGTCAAAATTTCAGTAGAAAATGAGACGGTCTGAAGGAAATGGAAGCAAGTTTACTCATCAGTAGTACATTTGTCGGTCATCTGCTGACAGAAATCGGAGATGCCACCACTCTGGCGACACTGCTCCCCGGGCCCGGCCTGCTCCGAGGGGGCGCTGGCAGCTGCCCGGGACTCCGGGCCCCAGGCACCACCCGCCTCACCACCCTTGGCACTGGGATAGCGAGGGCTCTGCTCCCCAGCAGGCGGCCCAGCTGCAGGCCCTTCAGGCAAACTCAAAATCGACGGTAATGTGAGCTCACCATCAGGAGTACTCTTTCCTTTCTCAGAAATTAAAAAGGAAAGTGGGCAATCGGAGGCCGAGTACTTGGCGAGAATCTGTATTTGTTCTTGACTTAGAGCTGCTTCTTTACAGACTTGCTGGCAAAGTCCAGTTAGGTTCTGCTTTGTCTCGCCCAGAGTGGACAAAATATGATCCCTTTCCTTCAACAAGCTCTCCTTTTCGTTTTGCTGTGAGGGTGAGAAAGAGAATACAGTGAATTGTGTTTATGAGCTCAATCAACATTCCTAAGGTGAGCAAACATTGATATCCACAGTGTCTTCTCATTATATAAGGTCATGTGGAATTTTTCCTGTCAATTCAATTCAAAAACATATTTAATACCTCAGGTCCATAAGCCCCCATCCAAAACTCTTAGGCCTACATATATCTTGGGATTCAGAATTTTTCAGATTTTAGAAAGAAAATACAGATGCACACATAATTCCTCTAGCAGGGTCTGAGGTAGCACCCCACTATCAAACGTCTTCACATTTCTAAATAAAACACATGAAAGTATCCATGCACAAAGTAGGTTAAATAAAGACTCTACATACCCTGTCAGCTTGTGTCAGTTCTTTGGCCAAAATAGTTTGTGACAAACTTACATGATTTTCAGAGCTTTTTGGATTTGTGGATTGCAAGTAAATGAGTGTGAACTTTTTGCATGGAATGCAACCAAAAAAAGTACAAGCACAGTGATCATAACTCCTGCAAGATTCTAGTAATGACTGACATTAGTTGGGCATTTACTTTGTGCCAGATATTGTGCTGAATGTTTTGAAATACGTAACCTCAGCTACGTAATCCTCACAATGACTCTGTTGATTTCAGTAATATCAAACCCATTTTATAGATGGGATTCAGAGTTTAATATGCCCAGAGTCAGAAAGCTAATGGGTGAGTTACTAAAGTGTGAAGAAGGGAGAAGGGGAGGGGACTTGTGTTTGTTAATTATTATTACTACTGGTGCTGTTATTATTTTCATTTAAATGTTTATCCCTACAGGAAAGTCAACCATGGAATTTTGTTCAAGTTTTCCTGGTTCCGGTCTTTCTGTCTGCCATCACTCGTTGCTGCTGATGGTGTGTCTTTTTTCTATCATTGCCCCACCTCATCCTTCCTACTCTACCACTGCATTGCTCCTAATCTAGTATGAGCTAGAAAACCAAATAATCAAGCTGTTTATAAGGTAAGAGTAAATAAATATTGATAGAGAGTCAAAGATTTCTCTTGTGAAATTTATGACAACTCTCTTGGCCTTCTGCTCATTGGCAGCTTCAAGAGAGCTGAGCTGTTAAATGTTGCCAGTTAACATTTAGACAGGTTATTTCATAGTAATCATCTACAATGGTCAACATTTAAATAGATGCTTTTATGGGACAAAAATAGCTAAATGGTTAAAAAGAAATCTGCTTTGCACAAAAGTATTGTTGCGGTTTTAGGTAAAAGTTTTTCTACAAAACTGTGACTCCAACTATTGGTAGTTAGTTTTTAAATATTTCAAGGCCATCTAATATTTTAAGAAAATGTGCAATGAATACAAAACACTAAATTTTTATATTGCAAGGTATTCTCCAATTTGTTGTGGTTTGAAAAATACGCCAAGAAAAAAATATATATATATAAAAAAATTAAAGCAAGATCAATGTTCAGGAAGTACATTTTTTCTTACAGAAGGTTTGTCAGTTGTAGCCTTGTGATAAAATGAGTTTGCTGGTACCTACAGGGAGAGAACAGTGCCTACCACCTGACCAGAGAAAGAACACATTTAAAGCAATCAGTACCCACTTCTCTTTATGGCCCTTCAGAAGCCAATCCAAATGAGTATGGAAACAAAGCTTCCCGAAGAAAATGAGAAACCTTTTTCCTTAGTCATAACAATATCAGCCACTGACTCCTCTATCAAAGTTAAGATAAATCTCTGTTCTAAATAGCAGCAGACAAAATTTCAACTGTTGGCTGGTTTTTTTAATTAAATATGGTTAAGGAAAATAATGAATATTTGGCTTTCCTCCCAGAAATCAGAACTACTACGTGACCTACAGATACTATGAAGATGACAAATATTTTATAACTTCCATATCTTTTGATAAATATCAATACAACCTTAAATATTCTCACTATTACTATTACTAAATAAAGGATGACAGGACTATAAGTATGTCCCATACAAGATGGCTTGCTTCTTTACAACAATTAAAACCAATAGGTACAGCCCTGAAACTCTACCATGATTATTTCTAGAAATTAAATGTTCCCTTTCTGTTCCTCCATACTTTAAGCTAACTCCTACATGGGTAAGTTTCCAGGCAATTAGCTGATTTTTCCATTTCACTCTCATTTTAAAACACAAATTTACTTCAATAGCACTCAGTTTAACTAAAGCAATTCAACTTAAGAACTTCATGATATCATTATTAAAGATACCTCTCAAACATACTACCAGTAGCCTGCTATCTATTTCTATAATATACTTTAATTTTCTTATAATGCAACTTTATAAATCCTAAGTGTGAAGTGCTATGGCTTTAATCACAGATCTAATTTTTAAAAATGAATCCTGGTATTATTCTGCATTTTATGGGAAGAAAACGAATTTACATCCAAATCCACATTTTCAACAGCTAGTGTACAATATTCATTCAATATAAGAAGTTTAAAAAAAATCAAAATATAACTCACCCAGTAAAGATAAGGAGTGGAAGAATTTGGCACCAAAAGAGCCAGGTGACAGTGACAATTAACTTTATTTTATTTATTTATTTATTTATTTTTGTGGTACACGGGCCTCTCACTGTTGCGGCCTCTCCCGTTGCGGAGCACAGGCTCCGGATGCGCAGGCTCAGTGGCCATGGCTCATGGGCCCAGCTGCTCCACGGCATGTGGGATCTTCCCGGACCGGGTCACGAACCCGTGTCCCCTGCATCAGCAGGCGGACTCTCAACCACTGCACCACCAGGGAAGCCCGACAATTTAACTTTAGATTAAAGGGTACTCATTGCTAGAAAATGGTGACTAATAGTCCCTTATGATGCAAAACATCTGAATAGACAGTTCCTAGAAATATAAAAATGAGTCTTAGAAATATGAATACAAGTGCTCAGTTTCACTCGTAAGAGAGAGAAAAATAAAAGCTACCGTGAGATATCAATTCTCACAATTAGATTGGGAAAAAAACAAAAGCTGACAACAAACTCTACTGAGGTTGTGGGCAGACACACATATTACTGCTGGTGGGAAAGCAAAATGCCATAAACTGCTACTGAAGGGAATTCATTAATATCTAACAAAATTACATATGTATTTACTCTTGATCCAACAATCCTACTTCTAGGAATCTATCCTGAAGACACATCTTCTCAAACATTAGAGAAAACAATGTTCAAAGTTCTTAACTATGGCATCCCAAATGTCCACTAATAAGAAACTGGTTTGGATTAACTGTGTATGCTACAGACAGCCACAACTGAGTACTATGGAGCTTTAAAGCAAAATGACAACCACTGTGAACTAAGAAAAATATTTCCTGGAAATCACTTCTTGAGCAACAACAGTAGAATACAGAATGGTATATACAGAATACTGCTCTGTAGCAGAAAGGGTAATAAAAATACATACAAAACATGAACCCGTTTTTAGAAAAGAAACACAAGGGAAAAAATCTGGAGATAAATGGTAATAGTTATCTACAGGAAATAGCTATGAATGGGGTATAGGGAGAAAATGGGATCAAGACTTTGGAGTAGCTTTTTTAAAACATAGTTTTAACTTTTAAACATACAGATGTTTTTACATATTCAAAAATTAAACTTAAAAAATGTGAAGAGTAAATCCTAGAAACAGAAATAAAAACAAATTAAATTAATTGTACATCAAATTGCTAACATAAAGAACTACTCTGAATAATTTTTAAATTTTAAACTTTAGTACTATGGTATATATTTAAGGGCAAAGAAAAAGCAAAGAAATTTTAAATTTTACTCAATCTCTTTATTATTGATAGTTATATTGACATTATAATTTTATGACATATATTTTATATGTATGTATTTGTCAAATAGTAAATATAATTGGAAGCCAAGATTTTCCCTATAATGAAAAAAGATGAAATATAAATACAGGGACTGCCCTGGTGGTGCAGTGGGTAAGAAACCGCCTGCCAATGCAGGGGACACCGGGTTCGAGCCCTGGTCTGTGAGAAGCCCGCACACTGCAGCTAGAGAAAGACCGCGTGCGGCAATGAAGACCCAACACAGCCAAAAATAAATAAATAGGGCTTCCCTGGTGGCGCAGTGGTTGAGAATCTGCCTGCTAATGCAGGGGACACGGGTTCGAGCCCTGGTCTGGGAGGATCCCACATGCCACGGAGCAACTAGGCCCGTGAGCCACAACTACTGAGTTTGCGCGTCTGGAGCCTGGGCTCCACAACAAGAGAGGCCGCAATAGTGAGAGGTCCGCGCACCGCAATGAAGAGTGGCCCCCGCTTGCCACAACTAGAGAAAGCCCTCGCACAGAAACAAAGACCCAACACGGTAAAAATAAATAAATTAATTTAAAAAATAATAATAAATAAATATTTATTTTTTAAAAATATATATATAATCGAAGCAAGACAAAAGTTCTAAACTACTAAATTTTGACTAGAAATATCTGCATGAACTCATGATTTCTAACATACTTTTATTTATTGAAGGATAATATACATCCTGAATGCACTCATGATTTTACACACACACACACACACACACACACACACACACACACACACACACTTCCCAGAAGAAGCAACACTCCAGCAGCAAGCATGCTTTCTACAATCTAATACCTGCTATAAGAAACCAGGGATTTTTAGAGAAAGGGGTGATTCCCAAATCTTCGAACAAGAGAGGCACAAGGTGAGCCTATGACATGCTGTTCTAAATGGCACAGAAGCACTAATGGGGTCATGTCAAAAGCACACAGCACCTGGCAGAGGAGGCTGGCTCTCCCCAAGCAAGTCTGAAAAATGTCAACATCAAGAAGACCGATGACTACTATGGGTTCTAAGAAATTAAATTAGAAAAATATTAATCCATGAGTCTACAGTGATACTAAAGAGCTGTGGTGGGAGGGAGGGAAACAGGAGGGAAGGAAAGTTCTTTTTATAGAGGAATACCAATAAATGTAAGTGCAATGACAGAATTAGAAA